TGCTTGGGTTGTAAGGATTGGCCACCTCCCTGCCGCGCGTGGATGAGGTCTGGAAGTGCTGGTGCGTGTAATCGGGGAAGGTGTAAAGGTGACGGCACCTGGGGTTTGGAGATCACTTTGAAATCTTGATGATCTGACAGGATTGACCGTAAATCGCTCTGCAGAAAGTTAGCTCTGGAGAGAGCAAAGCATGGGTGCTGTTTGTCAACCGTAACACCTTTTCAGCGCGGTGCAGGATGGAGAATGCACTGTACATCACCTCTGTCTGCTCTTGTTGTGTGGCATCTCAACCTGGAGGTTAGTCAGCTTCGGAGTACAGTGTAAGAGTCCAGCTTTTCTGTTTAGAATTCGGTCCCTGGAAACTAACTTTTCCTGTTGGGTGTGTTTTCAGCTTGGTCTTCTAAGGAAAGAAGGCTTATGGATGTGCTCCAGCTGTTGTTCCTTTTCCACCTAGTAATTTTAGCTCTCTGGCCAATTTCAGACAAATTTGCCAGTGACAGCGGTCTTAAAGAGATTGAAGTCTTTTTAGTTTAATGGAAATCAATATCTGACAAATGCAGAATATCACAATTATTGTTCACACTAAGGGCAGCTCCTTGTGACAGACAGCAGAGGTGAAGTGAGCCCATCAGCATACACGTGACTGATTACAGCCCTAATACACAATGCCGTTTGTCTGGGGAAGTTTGTAGTTTAGGTGGCATTAAAGCAAAGAGGGCAGCAATAGAGATGTGTTGAGTCACTGGCCATAAGTACATAGAAAATCATACGTCTTTATTTTTACTTTTCACGTAATAGCTTGGCCTTCTCTTAGAGTCCACCCAGACATATGACTATTAAATACTTTAAGCAAAGGTAACTTAATGGCTGCACAGTTAAGCATTCAGAAGTTGGGTAATGTGATGGCTTGGCTTGGAAGCATGGCTTTAGCTTTGCTTTTTCATATACAATGCATTGGGGCAATCTTATTTGTGTGATTATACAGCACTTTAAGGAACTGCAGAGTATTGTTTGTCAGTCATGAATTGTGTGCAGTAATCAGACAAATAGGAGGAAGAAATTTCTGTGGGGAAATGGTTATTATAAGAGTTTAGAATTTTTAACTTTGACTTTCAGTTAGTGCCATAATAATAATTCATAGGTATATTTTGGGGTGAAATAAATTTGGCAACTGAAAATAATGTTTGTCACTGAATGGGAAATAAGCTTAGAAAATGCTCATCTGTGCAAGATTTTAAGATGCATGTGTTCCAAATAACATATCAGGTATGTGAAGCAGTAGGAGAATGTTGCAAACTTTGAAGTATTTGGATATTACTTATTCCCTTAGGTTATAGACACATGGGAAGATTTTAACAGAGTAGATGAAAAATGGTGGTGGATCCTGGAGGATTCTGACAGCTGCAAAGAGATAATTAGGATGTAAGTGGCTTTGCTGCTTTGATTCCTGGTTTTCCAAGCAGTGTTCTTAGGAGCTGAGGAGGCACAGACTGAAGTGACTGTCACTCAGGTGGCGCTGTGATGTGCGCCTGGCACGTGCCTGCTGTGTGCATCGCAGACTCTCTGTTTGTAGCTGAGGTTTAGTCATAGTCTGAAATTCCAAAGACATCTTATGAACAAGAAGGCAGAAATTAAGTGAACCTGTTCTGCTGACACCACTGGCTGAGCTACTCCAGCTGCTTTTCACCTTATCTCTTCTTGAGTGAATGGAAGAGGATGCTTCTGACTTTTTTAAAGGGAGGAATTAAAGAGCTGCTTTTATATGGGTTGTTGTGGTGGTGGTGGTTTCTTTCCCCCTGTATGCTGAAATCATAAGAATACCTCCGGTTTCCAGATATTGAAGTACAGCAAATTAGGCAACAAAGAGATTTGGAATAGTGCATTCCAAATATTCAAGCATGCTTTCAATTTGCGAAGGGTGTTGGCATAAGGTGTATAACATTGTACCAAATCACATCCAGCTTGGATGTGAATTAATACAATGTACAGGGTAGCAGAATGAAATAAATACATAAGGAAGTCAAGGGATGGGCCGTGCTGGATTTGACAAGAACCATTCTCTTGTTTAATTTTTGTACAGTAATGCTTGTGGTTTTGTAATAAGTGTTTGGATCCAAGATGGTCTTAAAAATAAGTTTTTTTAATTACATGTGACTGGGCAGGAGGTATAAGTAGTGTAGCATTTGATATGAAGGGATTCTCAATGAAGCAGAGTTGCTTGAGTCATAAGAACTTGTAAAAAATATCATGAAGTCTATGCCACTTTGAAGGATAGTGATTAAGTATCACAGCACAGTGTTTCAGCCAAGACAGTTTTCAATTAAATAACAGTACTGAACATTGCCCCTGATTATGAGAACACCAGTGGACATGTATGCCTGCCTGTGTGTACAAACCGGGTGTTTAAATTAAAATGAATATGTAAAACTTGTGTGTGCATAGCATCTGACAGCTTTAATGTTCCTAATAATTTTGTTATGGGTCTAGTTACAATTCTGAAGAAGTGTTTTACTTGTCTCCAGCCTGAAGGACTGGTTACTTTATAACTTAGTTCCTGTGCTAGCGTTCTTCATCTCTGTCACATTTGTGACTCCTTTATTCAAGTTAAGTTCCTCAGGGACACGTTTTCCTATTCTGAAGGGTATCAATCATAACATGAGTTGTGTGTGCACATGTGTTCTGGGAAGTCAAGTGAAAACATCTCTGATTGAATGGCTGAGGAGTAGGGCTTCCTTTCTTTCAGATCGCTGTAAAACATGTAAAGGTCACAACTCCCTGATTAAGAAACATTGTGCAGTGTTGAATTTATGTAACGCTAACCTAACTTGCTGGTTAAAATGCAATTCCGGCTTTTATATGTGCATGACATGTCCAAAGTGTACTTTGGTTTGACCTTACAAGTGTAGCACTGTTGTCATGCTCTTGAGTAAGTATGAAAGTGATTTTGCTGCCTGCACAGGACTGACAAATTGTGTATAGACTACGTTTGTTTCCTGTATGAAAAGCTATAGCAGTAGTCTTTTAAAGTGAATGAGTTACTTTTGCAACCATGATGTGTGATAGTAATCTTTTACGCAGCCACACTGCATGCCATTGTGATTCAGATAAGAAGAAAGTAGCAGACTGTTAAAAATATTTCGTGCTTCCTGTTAAAATGTGCTTTTCTCACCCAGTTACCTGAACTTCTGTCAGGTTAATTGACAGAGGTGAAGACCATAAAATGAGATCGATGCTATCTAAAAGCACATCTCAATCATGCTGGTACTCTAATACCAAAATGAGTTCTTTGTGGTCCATCTCTAGTGAGGCTGGAATGATCAGAGTATGGATCTATTAACTTTTAGGTCTAGATGCAGGTTTCTCAGATCTTGTGATCTGGAAGTCATTGGTGTGGCGGGCAATGCCCCAAGAAGCTTATTGAAAACACTGTTCTTTAGGCTGCCAATGCTATTAAAAGCAGTGTAAAGGTATTATGGGAAGAGGAGAGCTTAACTTGAAGAAGAAAGAAAACTTTTTAAAGTAACTGAAGTTTAAAGTGAAAATAATGTTGCCTATTTGGGGTGTGTGCCTGCCTCTGTAGTCTGTAATGTGTGGTTGGCTTAAGGGATACTTAATTCCTGCCAGCCTTCAACCTTTGAAGTTGGACTCTGCTTTGCTTTCATGCATCAGTGAAGTTGTTAGCTAGAAATTCAGCACAAAACTTGGATAGGGGGGAAATTGCCTTTTGCTATGTACTACAGCTCCTCTTACTCATTGACTACAATAATAAAATGGTGCTAGCCCAACACTGAGCAACTCCAAATCAGCAACAAGAGAAGGAACGCCATTTCATTTTTCACTATTGAAGGATCCATAAGATTCAGAGATGCTGTTTAAATATTATGCATCTGTGGTTTAAATGCTTGGTTCTCCTACATGAGTCTCTCACTTGTAAATTCTGAGAATTCCTGTGAATTGGAGAAGTTTAACTAGTTTTGGCATCATCTTGGGTCATAGTTCCACAAACATTAAGCCAGCACTGCCACCATGAGAAGCA